GCTAAACATAACCACATAAGCATAAACTTTGGATCTTTAATCTCGAATATTATTAAAATAAAACTTATACATTACAAAACGATTACATACCTTATTTAATTATGATCTTCGAATCTAAAGAAGTAGGGTTTGGTTTTCCAGTTGATCTCAAGTTCTCTCTCTAAATTCACTCGACAAACCCTAAACGAATTTACATGTATATTCCGTATGTCTTGATATGCTCCTCATCACATGAATATATAGACGGAGATATACCCTAATGTGAGAGATGAAAATGATCTTGAGGAGCTTGAGTCAAACCGGGAACTCAACCTATATAGTAAGTAAATATTATATAAATCGGTCCATCAACAATTTATATTCTTACTATAATAACCGGATTTAATGATAACATTGCATATATATATGAGATGGTCTCATAACTATGTAACGTCTGGTACTTCTAGTTCCAAAGGGAAGGGTCCGACATGATTGCATCACATCCATTTGAGATTTTGCACTTTTGATTTTACAATTACTTTGATGTTGTTTAGAAACACTTTTTGGTACTTGAATACCTTTTGGAAGTAATATATGAATGTTTTGGTTGAATTTAAAACAAAATTTTTACGTAGTATTTTTCGAACGTTACAACATCAGTGGGTTCATCGTCGGCTGAAGATGAAGCATATAGATTTTCTTCGATTACTATTTTTTGAATGTTTGGATTCATTTTGTTGTAATAGTTTAATTAAACTATAGAGAGAAAATAAATGGAATTGAAGAATGTGTGATAGTTTTAGAAGATGAATGTTGATATTCATATTGGTAAAAAAGTGAATATATATATATATATATATATATATATATATATATATATATATATATATATATATATATATATATATATATATATATATATATATAGAGTCAAGATCAAATAAGAAGGAAATTTTTGGTAGGAAGGTAAGAAGTTTTTTTTCTACATATTTTTTTGACAAACAAAATCAATGAATCACTAGATGATTAATTTCTAAGATGATTCACAAGAAAAAATTCTCAAAAAAACATCTTTATGATTCATTTATACAATGATTTTGTTGTTATTCACTAAAATTATCATAAAAATGAATTTTTTCTTAATTTACTTAAAAATGAATCATAAAGATGTTTTTTTTGAGAATTTTTTTTTTGTGAATCATCTTAGAAATGAATCATCTAGTGATTCATTTATTTTGTTCGTCAAAAAATATGTAGAAAAAAACTTCTTACCTTCCTACCAAAAAAATTTCTTACCGGATCTATATATATATATATATATATATATATATATATATATATATATATATATATATATATATATATATATATATATATATATATATATATATATATATATGGAAATAATCAAATGAGAACACCTAAAAGGTTGAGAACGCGAGAACAAGTATATGCATTTGTGATTCCATGTATTCATTTGTGGAGAAATGATAATTTTTTACGCACAATCAACATGAATATGCTTTTTCTCTTCGGTTGAAATTAAAGACGTAAAAATTTATCATTCCTACACAAATAAATATATGGAATCATAAATAAATATACTTTATTCTCGCGTTCTCAACCTTTTTGATGTTCTCATTTGATCCTACTCCTATATATATATATATATATATATATATATATATATATATATATATATATATATATATATATATTAACGGTCAAAGGAGTAAAGAATGACGTAAAGTGCAGAAAAATGAGAAGGAAATATGCGGGTTGTCCAACCCGCTTAAATTTAATTTTGGCAGTACCCTTTAGGGGTGTTCATGATCTTGTTTGAAACCGTGAAACCGGCCAAACCGGTCATCGGTTTGGGTTGGTGGTTTGTATTTTTCTTTATGGTTTGGCTTGCGGTTTCAAACTTTCAAAACCGCAATGAACGGTTTGGCTTGCGGTTTCAAGTTTTTCAAACCGTATAAAAACCGGACCGGACCATAGGATTTATATATATACAAATTAATTTTTATATGTAATTCATTTTACTTTTGATATATATTAATTTTTATTTGTAAATAAAAAATGTTGAAAACCTACAGGAGACAAACTCAATGATAGGCGAGCCCATTTTTTTTTTTTTTTTTTTGTGAAGTGAGAAATATGATTGTGAAGCCCACTAAGTCATTTGCAACTTGTAACCTAACCCTAATTCACAATTGCATAGAGGCATACTTCAAATTTGGTGTTCATCAATTCATTGGTAGAGCCATAGAGAACTAGAGAAACACCTAAGAGTCGAAGAACGCAAAAACGTCCGGTCCTCCGCAGCTCCGCTTACATCTCCATCGCAGGTCCGCTTAGGTGCTTACAAATCACGTCTTCTGATTGCTCCGGTTAGTCGCTTATAACTCTGCTTTCTCTCTGATTTGGTATGTTCCGTTTAGATGCTTACAACTCTTGCAGACGAAAGTAACCTGTCCCTGATTACTCATAACAGTAGTTGAATCAAGCAAGCATTCTTCATTTTTTAATGATTCTTAACACACGATTTCTTTAAGTTTACAATCTTTATGCTTGAACAGTTGAACTAGATGTATTAGTTATCTGAAATGGTTAATATCACAGATTCATAGAGATTCTTGTTCACACAGTAAATGGGTTTAATCTTCAACAGTTAAACTAGACGAAACTACTCACATAGTATTTGGCTTTATCCTTTCAACATTTGTAATGATAAATTGATATCTTTCAGATCTTGTTGGGCTCTTTCATATCTTTCAGATGGCTCAAATGATAAAATCCAAGTTGTCATTGAAGAAAATGTATGTCCCTAATTGTTACAATAGATGATATCAGGTAGCATTTCTTTTAGAATATTTGCAAACTCAGGTAGCATTTCTTTTGGAATATTTTTTTAAAGAAAGTTTTTGCATTTGGTTTTAGATTATAGAAAATTGACATTATATTCGTTGTTGACTTACATTTGTGTGTTGTAGTATATAATCAATCATCAAGCATTGCCTTGTCTTCTGAACTTGTTGACCAATAATCACAAAAAAGTATTAAGAAAGAAACTTCTTGGACTATATCAAACATCACCGCCGGCAAGAAGGAGTAGATTCAGGTAATGATTTATAAATTCTATCCAAAATTAACTCTTTAAGTATTAAACGTTATTTTTTTTACTGATATATGTACTTTGTGATTTTTACAGACAATCATTGAAGCAAATATCATTGGAGGTGAATAGCATTTTGGAAGTGAGCTTAGTGATAATGATTTTTTGGACAATTTTGCGTGTATTAGTCTAATGTTTGATGTAATGAAACAATATTTGATGTTTTAATTTACTGTTTTGGCTTAATAGGTTTAATGGTATAGTTTTTTTTACTAAATTAGTCTAATAGACTCGACTAAAATGGGCCTAAAAGGCCCAAACCGTGAAACCAAACCGGAGCCAACCGTTAGTAATGGTTTGGTTTGGTTCGGTGATAAATTTTCAACGGTTCGGCTTCGGTTTGTGCTTGACAAAAACCGTTACTAACGGTTTGGCTTCGGTTTCACCTAAAAACCTAAAAAACCGGACCGTGAACACCCCTAGTACCCTTAGTTGTTTGGAATCATCATCTCGTCATCTCAATGGGCGCGTCATCCGTCTACCACAACGTTCCAATGGCTCCGCCCACCTTAAGAGCTCTCAACTTGAGACACTCTCCCAAAATTTCTATTCATTTCACCTTTCCAGCTAAATTGGTATGGTAGAACTGTTGTCCTATGGGAAATCCTTGTAAAGATCTCAAATGAGGTTTTTAAACCAAACTTCAATAGACAAGAGGTGTAAGCACTACGATGTGACATGAGATCTCCAACAAGTCTTTTCTTTTGAGAGGACAACTCAATCAACTTGGTTGATCCCCTCTTATGGAAATACTAAAAGCAAGATCTTATGGAAATAATAAAATCAAGAGTGAACGATATGTTTTGTTTACATTCTAACTATTTTAGAATTAGTTAGAAGGGGGCGGTCAACCAAAATGTGACTAAAACTGGCTAACAACTAAATTGGCAAGTTTTTTCAAAATTTAGGGGTAAATTCAAAAAATTTACATGTTTAAAAACACGGCAATAACAAGTAGTACACAATCAAATTATTATTTCAATTTGATGATTCCTCGTATTAATTCAACTAACAAAAAAAAATAGAAGTTAGGTGTGTTATAAGGAAAAAATATTATTGAATTAAAATATATATTACTGTTTTTTTAATTATTCATTATATGGTTATTTCATTCATGAAGATTCAGTGTCATATAAAACGAAAAGTGTAGTCTTACAACGTTTTTTTGATAAAATTGATAGGTTTATCCTTTGTTGTACACAATAATCATGATAATGCTATTTTAAGACAACTTTAAATTAATATATTTTCATAAAGACAGGAGTTATGGACCTTATCCATGTCTTTATTTATACATATTTAATATACACATGGTATTATTGTTATTACTATTTTTGAAATTACACCCATAAATGAACAAATCCTAGAAATTCTATCACCTTCAAACTTCTCTCAAACACATACCCTGATCTTCGATCTCAAATTTGTTCACGACTATCATAATAAGTGTCGGAAACATCTCAAATTACTACAGGTAAGTTTCATAACCCAATTTAATCTGATTGATTTCAAATGATTTCACATCGAGATAGTGTTAATTGTCATTTTTGGAGTTTGTATGATCTAAGATTTTGTTGATTTAGCTCATTTTCCATAGTCGAGATGATGCACATTTATTTGATTTTGATATAATTAGTTATGTCTCTGTTTCATCAAAAATTTGTTGCATTGTATAATGTCGATTGCATATAATTGTTTTCCTAACAAATTTAATTCATTTGTTTATATGTAAAGCAAGATTTGCTTTTTTGTGGCAGATAATAACTAGAATTTACCCTTTTTGGAGGTTTCCAAGAAGTTTTTATTTTTAGGTTGGAATCATTAGGGGTAGAAAAAGATAAAGATGCAGTCGAGGTCATATACTAATCTTCTGGAATTGGCATCTGGGAATTTCCCTGTAATGGGGCGAGAGAGGGACAAGCGAAAGCTGCCAAGGATTATGACTGTTCCTGGAAGTATCAACGAATTTGACGATGAGCAAACAAACAGTGTTGCATCTGATAACGCTTCTTCACTTTCGATGGATCGAATCATTATAGTTGCAAATCAATTGCCTCTGAAAGCTAAAAGAAGACCTGATAATAAAAGTTGGAGTTTTACTTGGGATGGCGACTCTCTCCTTCTGCGACTTAAAGATGGTTTTCCTGACGATATGGAAGTTCTATATGTTGGCTCCTTAAATGTCGATGTTGATGGCATTGAACAAGATGATGTTGCTCAACACTTGTTGGAAAGATTCAGCTGTGTCCCAACTTTTCTTCCTCCTAGCCTCATCGAAAAGTTCTATACAGGTTTTTGCAAGAAACAGTTGTGGCCTCTCTTTCACTACATGTTACCAATTTCAGCTAATCATGGTGGTAGATTTGATCGATCTATGTGGGAAGCCTATGTCTCTGCAAACAAATTATTTTCCCAAAAAGTAATCGAAATCATAAATCCTGAAGATGATTTTGTTTGGATCCATGATTATCATCTAATGGTTTTACCTACTTTCTTGAGAAGACGATTTAATCGTTTAAGAATGGGGTTCTTCCTCCATAGCCCATTCCCTTCTTCCGAAATTTACAGAACACTTCCTATTAGAGAAGAAATTCTAAAAGCTCTACTCAATTCCGACTTAATCGGATTCCACACCTTCGATTATGCTCGTCATTTCCTTTCTTGTTGTAGCCGTATGTTTGGATTGGAATACCAATCAAAAAGAGGGTATATAGGATTAGATTACTATGGAAGAACAGTCGGAATCAAGATAATGCCAGTTGGAATCCACATGGGACAGATAGAATCTGTGATGAAACTTGCTGACAAAGAATCAAGAACCAAAGAAATCAAGCAACAATTTGAAGGAAAAACCGTGTTGCTTGGAGTTGATGACATGGACATCTTTAAAGGCATCAATCTGAAGCTTTTAGCAATGGAACAAATGCTGAAACTACATCCATCTTGGCAAGGAACTGCTGTTCTTATCCAAATTGCAAATCCAACTAGAAGTAAAGGTGGCATAGATTTGGATGAAATACAAGCTGAAATACAAGAAAGTTGTAAACGTATAAATGAAGAATTTAGTAAACCTGGGTATCAACCAATTATCTACATAGACAAACCATTGTCAGTTGGTGAAAGGGTTGCTTACTACAGCATAGCAGAATGTGTAGTGGTGACAGCTGTAAGAGATGGAATGAATTTAACACCATATGAATACATTGTATGCCGAGAAGGAATTCCCAATTCCGATTCCAATTCTGATTCTGGTCCTAAGAAAAGCATGCTGGTGGTATCAGAGTTTGTGGGGTGTTCTCCTTCTTTGAGTGGTGCAATTCGTATCAATCCATGGAATGTTGAAGCAACTGCTGAAGCAATGAATGAAGCTATATCAATGGGAGAACCAGAGAAACAAATGAGACATGAGAAGCATTATCGTTATGTGAGTACACATGATGTGGCTTATTGGTCTAGAAGCTTCTTGCAAGATATGGAAAGAAGTTGTGCAGATCATTTTAGGAAAAGATGTTGGGGAATCGGTTTAGGGTTTGGGTTTAGAGTTGTGAGTCTTGATCCGAATTTTAGGAAGCTTTCAATAGATGACATTGTATCAGATTACTTAAAGGCTAAACGAAGGGCAATTTTGTTGGATTATGATGGAACTGTAATGCCTCAAAATTCCATCATTAAGACACCAAGTAGAGAAGTTATTTCACTTTTGAATAGACTTTCTGGTGATCTGAATAATACAGTTTTTATTGTTAGTGGAAGAGGTAGGGAGAGTTTAAGCGGGGCTTTTTCTCCATGTAGGAAGCTTGGAATTGCAGCTGAACATGGCTACTTCATAAGGTTAGTATTATCAATTTATCATTATCTCTTGTGTTTTTTATCTGTATTTTTGGTTTGTGAAAAGCACGTAAACGCCCCTGGCGTTTGTTGTTTTTTTTTTTTTTCCAGGTGGTGTCAAGATGTGGAGTGGGAGACGTGTGGTCAGAGTAGTGATTTTGGATGGATGGATATGGCTAAACCTGTGATGAAACTATATACAGAATCAACTGATGGATCTTCTATAGAAACTAAAGAAAGTGCTTTAGTTTGGCAATACAGAGATGCAGATCCAGGGTTTGGATTTGCTCAAGCAAAAGAGATGCTTGATCATCTTGAAAGTGTTTTGGCAAATGAACCTGTTGCTGTTAAAAGTGGTCAATATATTGTTGAAGTCAAACCTCAGGCATCTCCTTTATCCTAATTCACTTTCTCCTGTTATCCATTTTGAAAGTGTATTGAATATTGATCTTTTTTGTTTTTCTTGCAGGAAGCAAGTAAAGGTCTTGTTGCAGAGAAGATCTTTACATCAATGGCTGAAAATGGGAAACAAGCTGATTTTGTGCTTTGTGTGGGTGATGATCGATCTGATGAAGATATGTTTGAAATAATCGGGAATGCAATTTCAAGAAATATAATTTCTGTTAATACTGTGGTTTTTGCATGCACGGTTGGACAAAAACCAAGTAAAGCAAAATATTATCTTGATGACACCAATGAAGTTATTTTAATGCTTGAAAGTCTGGCTGAAGCTACTGACTCTCCCGCTGTATCTGAAGATGAAAATTTCGGGTCCCATTATCCTTAAAAGAATTTAATTTTTTTAAAGTAGTACTAATTATTATTATTCGTTTTTCGATTGAATAATTGCATATTTTGTGTCTATGCACTTTTTTTTTTTTTTTTACATAGATGAGTTTGTAGGTTTAGTGTATCCTATTTAAGAAGTGGTAATTAGTGTACTTTTCTTTCATTAATTTGTTTATTGTAGCTTTATGATTTCGTTTCCTCCTATTAAGAAATGCCATCCAAATATAACAGAATTTTCACTTCTATGATTGGATAGATATTTCAACAATATTATAATGTCTTCATAAGAAAAAAAAAATTAGAGTACAATGTTATTTGGGTTTAAATAAAGAAAAGTTGAAGTATAATTTTATAATTGTGTAGATGTTTCAAGGTACAATGCTATAATTAGAATTTTATTAAGGGTTATTCAAATCACTCTCTTGTCCTTTTACAAAAAAGAAAACCTGCAAACCGGACATCTACCATGGGTTCTCACCCAAGGCAATATGCACTGCTCATGGAACATATGATTACACGGTGTCATCATCACCACTTGTTTTGCTTCGAAGTCTTCTAAGCATATGACACATCTTTTATTATCATAATCATCATCTTCTTTGTATACTCCTTTTATCGTCTTTCCACCATCCTTTTGTGAGTAAAACCTACCCAACCTTTGTATAATCTTCTTTGGAATAGGATTGTAAATCTCTTTCCTTAGCTTCTCTAAAGCTTTTGTTTGATTGTTTGAATCACGTGTTTGTTGTTGTGTTTGTGTTTGTGATCGATCCATTTCTCTTGACCTCAAATTTGTGTGGTTTGCCAAATTGTTTTGCAACACCACAAGATGCATTGGAGGTTGTGGAAAACTGCAAAATTTTGCATTCAACAATTTTTATGGTAAATATAATTAAAAAAAAAACTATATTACTATTATGATCATATAAAATTTTAAGTAAAACAATCTAAATATAAATATGAGTTCAACATATATTCGTATCAAGTAGTAAAAAGAAGGAAAAAGTCATTAAAATATGAATATGTGAGACTATAAGAAAGGGGATCACCTTATTATGGAGGAAGGTAAAGTGAAGATTCTATCCTCAAGTGACCACAACCATGGATCAATACCAACTCTCTCATTCTGCAAAATGAAATATTTATGTTTAATTCGGGTGATTTAAAAGTGACATGCTAAAATAATTTATCCAATGTTTATCAGCTTGGATTTATTTGGATTTATAAAATATAATGAGTAAGTACTATAATAAATAGTGCAACGTAATAAATAATTAATGAAATTAGGTATTACATCCAACAATCAAGTTTGATTCAGGTATTACATCCAACAATCAAGTTTTGACTTGAATACAAAAGTTGGACGAATTTTCATATGAGTTTTTATTTTGTATATAAAAAGAAAATATATTGTAAAATCATTATGTTTAAACTTCATAACCGTTTTAATCTTTATTTTTTTAGTCAGTTAAGTTCCAAGACAGAAAAATATATTTATTTTGACCCTTTTATTTAGTCAACATGTCATATAACTTTCAAAAATTACAATTTTTGCCTAGAATTTAATATTTATTACAAACTTTGTAAAAAATTTACACTTTTGGTCCAAGTTTTAAATTTTATTACAAACTTGGTCCAAAATTTACACCTTTGGCCCAAATTTTAGATTGTATTACAAATTTGATCAAAATTTTACACTTTTGGCTTAGATTTCAAAATTTTGTTACAAATTCATCCTAAAAATATATATAAACATGTTTTTTATAAAAAAAAATGCACACAAATATGTGTTTTATATAAATATATACAAACACGTTGTATAAAAAAAAAATTACAAACACGTTTTTATAAATTAATGTATACAAATACCTATTTTATAGTAAACATTTTTGTATATAATTATGTTTTATATGCACAAATAGGTGTTATATACATTTCTCTTATAAAAACGTGTTTCAATACATTTTTTTTATAAAAGCGTGTTAGTATACTTTTTTTTATAAAATCGTGTTTGTATACAATGTATTTATTACAAAGTAGGTATGCATAAAAGATGTATACAAATACACTTTCATAAAAATAAAATATATACAAACACCTATTTATTTGCACATAAATAAATACAACTATTTTTACTATGGAATAGGTGCCTGTATGCATATTTTTAATAAAAACGTGTTTGTATAATTTTTTATAAAGTATGTGTTTGTATTTATTTTTTTATAAAAACATGTTTGTATACAATTGCATTTATTATAAAATAGGTGTTTGTATAAATATGATTTTATAAAGCAAAAAAACATATTTGAAACAAAATTTTGAAAAAAAAAAAAGATGTAAGAAAACTAATTTTAGGATGAATTTGTAACAAAATTTTGAAATCTATGCCAAAAGTATAAATGTTGGACCAAATTGAAATAAAATTTAAAATTTAGATAAAAAATGTAACTTTTCAAAGTTGAATAACTTGCTCACCATGTAAAATGGTCAAAAGGATTTGGTTTGTTGGACTTAATTGACTAAAAACAGATAATGATAAAATCGGTTATAAGGCCTAAACATAAAAAGTTCTTAGTAGATTTTTCAATATGTTTAGTATTAAGTTTATTTTATATATTATTTGAAATAGAAACAACAAATTGTTTATTTAAAAATATAAAGCTAATTAGACGTAATAAAGACTTACCATAGCTTAAATAAGAATACAATAAGATATATGTTATTAGTTTTTTTAAGAAAATAATATGTTAATTAATTGAAGAGATGAAATTATATTTGTGTCAATAAATACTACATAGATAAGGGAATATGTTATATTGCAATTTTTCACTCCATCTCATGGAATATAAAAATACACCATTGGCTAAAGAATGAAATTAAAAAAAAAAAAAAATCACAATTTCTTCACTGGTTAGGCTTATAAATACAAGTAATTTTTTTTCATTTAGAGAAAAACCTAGAAGAAAAAATCCCAACATATTTTCATCAAATACTTAAAAAAACACAATCATATTATTTTTGTGTACGTTAAACTCTTATATTTTTTAAAATGTCAAATTTAAGGCTTCGAATTCGATAATACCTAGATAGCCAAAAATGCTATGTAGATGATTCTTAAACGGTTGATGATAACGATCCATTAGATTAAAATTTTTCAAAAAAAATATAAGGGTTTTGATGTACTAAAAAAAATATAATAATGGTTTTTTTTTTTTTTTTTTTAATTTTTTGATGAAAATATGGTCTTTCTAAGATGAAAAGACTTAAATAAGATTTTTAGAAAAAATAAAGGTTTTAGTGGACTAAAAAATAATACATTTTTTTTTCCAGAATTAAAGGAAAATATATTTGATTTTTATGATGTTTCTCTTTCATTTAATTGGGTGAAACATACTAGCGTAGAAATAACCGACCAAGGCTAATTTGGTATAATTTGTGAAATTCTTCTTAGATGACTTATAACTTGTAACCTGTACATTTTTGTCGAGCTTCTTATTAGATAATGTTTTTTAATATATTGTGGTTCTAAAAAACAAAATACAAACAATCTCTTTCAATTCTTTTTTCAACTCACATACCAAACATTAATTCGTGACAAAAATGATTGGGATTTGCTAATATCAACATAGAGGTGTTAAAATTTGAATCGTGTTCACCCAAATAATATATTTCCACAATAAAGAAAGAAAAACATGAGATACAAATTTCACTAAAATATTTTTCTAAGGATATGTTAGAGAAGAATAATAACCAGAATATGAGGAAAAAGGCGCGATGGTGGAGATATAATGTCCAAAAATGAGTCTCTATCATCGTTGGCAAGTCGCAAAGACCGTTGAGTATTGATATTGTTGTGGTTGCTCATTATGTTAGAGACATGTAAATCTTTTATTTTCCTATTAAAGCTTTATATAAGATGTGTTTGAAGGAGTGTTACCTCTTCCAAGTATATATGCCTTCATTCTTTTGTTGTTGATTTGAACTTTTATTCTATGCCCTTCCCACTTAATAGAGAGATTCTTGCTTAATTATAATGTTGTTTTTGTTCTATAGAATCTATGGGGTTCTCCTAATATCATCGAGATTTTTCTCTTAAGGATGATTATGTGTTTAAAAAATGGTTAAATGTACATTTATGAACCAATATTCCATTTTTTTAATCGATTCAACAAAGTGGGTTTTATACAAAATATGTGATGCTTTTTTCAGGGAATATTCCTTTTTAACAAAAGTCAACTTGAAAAGAGCATTGCATTCTTACACTTTCAATTTTATTGTTGTATTGGACTAAAATACAACGGGAATGGAATAATAGATTTATATTTGGATTATTATGAAAAAAGTTTTTTTTTTTCAAAAAAAAAAAAGTGGCTTTTTTTTAGAAAGAGGTAATTGCGATATACTTTCTCACACGAAATAGCAATTTACTTTCAGCGGATTCTCCCCTTGATATCAATTATCATTTCTTATTGATAATACATTATACTTGTAACATTAAAATTGCAGCCAATATGCCTTGATTTTTAACCATTATAGCAACCCATCTCAACTATATTACCCCTAATGACAATTTACTTTCAGTCGATTCTTTCTTGATATTCAAATCTTATGCCACTAAGCACGCCCTGTTCATTTCACTAGTTTATATTAACGAAGATGTTTCAATAAAAAGTAATTTATTTTTTACTTTTTACACAAATAACCAACATTTGCTAAGTTGACAAGTTATGTTATCACTATTTTTCTTCGAAATTTTCTTTTTACATGGTCCTAGTTAATAAAAAATATTAAAAAAAAGGTATATATGCAAAATTGTTTTCGTATACTTCAGTTTCCAATACCTAAGTCTTATTTTTTTAAGGAGAGGTTTCAATAAAATAATCATTTTGTTTTTAGTATGGGATTTCCAATAGAACAATCAATTTTCATGTAAGAATAATTAATTGAAGTATTAATTATAATAAATATTACCATAATGAGACACACATGTGTTTATCAGTTCATATATCAGAAACTAATTATACTTCTTCTATAACAGATAACTATATAAAAAAATTTGTTTAAAAAAAAAATTTATTCCACCATAAAAAAACTTTGTTCCACCATATTACAATCAATGGTAGTTTAGAAAAGTTACATGAAGATTTTCAAATTTAGCGATGAACAAAGTAACTATTACAAAAAGAGAAGGTAAAGGATTAATGAAGTGCCACGTGGTTGCAAATACTTTCTCCTTTCTTCATTTAAAGATTGAATGATGATCATACACTTGTGAATGAATAATTTTAGAAAATAGATGAAGTTAACAATTCTTGTGAATGAATTTTTCTTTGTTGGGTTCGACAACGACGATGGAAACACACAGTGAGCCTAGAAAGAATGTAAGAAAGAAGACGGGAACAGTACATACTAGATTAGATCTTATAATATACACCAATTTAAGAATAATTGTTAAAAAAAAAATCTTCAGAAAATCCCTAAAAATTTTATCAATTAATGAAAAAAACAAGGTACTGGCTATATATGTGAAACCGGCATTGAAGGTATTCCAAAGTTTTAAACCGGGAAGTTGTCTTTTTTTTTAAATAAAGCTTACTTTTGGACGAAAACCGTAAACTAACCCTATATATATTTTCCCTTATTTTACAAAAAGTCCTAAAATATTACCTTATTTTACCTTATTTTACGAAAATATCCCAAATAAAAATCCCAAATAAAAATATTACCTTATTTTACGAAAAAATCCCAAATAAAAATTTGTTTACGAAAAAAACATGAATTACTGGTAAAAATGACGATTTGACCATATTTTCCCGGTTTACCGGTTTCTTTATTTACATGTTTCATTAAAATCTCATTATTTTATACAAATTTACGAATAAGTCCCAAACTAAAATTTAGTGATTATTTGACCATTTTCTCCATGTAACATACATGTTACCGATTTTATCGCCGACCTAGATGCCTAATCATTAAATGAGCCGATGAGATGGATATGTTGGGTTATATAATGCTATGTTTACCATAAAACTTGATATCTTGATATATTGTATATTTTTGGAATATAAAATGATGTAACACTCAGAATCAGAAAGACCAAGAAAAGAAAGGAAACCCCTAAGTCAAAGGGGTCAACTCGTCGAGTCCATAGGTGAACTCGACAAGTTGGAGCTGGTTCCGTGTCAGGATTTAAGTGATCGAATCGGCGAGTCGGCGGGACTGACTCAGCGAGTCAGGTTTGGGTTGGGAACCCCTGATTTCCGGACTTGGTGCCCTATTTAAGCACCATTTCAGGCCTTCACCCCAGCCTCCATCACTCCCTTTACCTTCCCCTCGAAACCCTAAGCCTCTATTGTAGTACTCTTAAGCTTTCTTTGCCATTTGGGTGCTTAGAAGCAAAAAGGAAGAAAGGAACCTTGGGTGATTCAAGAAGTGGCAGTGGGCTCTAACTTGGTGTGCTAGTTAAGATCATTTGAAAGGTATGGAGCTCATACCATGGCTGTTATTCATTTAGATTCCCTTTCCTAGTTAGATTTTATCATTTTGGGCCATTTCCAAGGCCAATTCATGTATTGTGCCTTTATGAGCAAAGAGAAATTCAGATCTAGAGTTGTCTTGGCCTAGAAACCTATAAAGTATCAGTCTTTGGTGTGTTGGTGAAGCATGCTTGTCTCAAACCCTAGCCCTAGAGAGTTTTAAGCCTATAGCTCCGTGGTTTCACGTAAAGTTTGCAACTTTACGTGAAGGATGGGCCTTAGAAGAGTGGATCTACACTTTGGAGCCCCTGCATGGCTCGAAAAGCCACTGTATGGATTCATAACGGAAGCTACTCGGCAAGTCTGTTCATGGACTCAACGAGTTGTATGAAGATAGGTAGGAACACGACGAGTTGAAGGACAACTCGACGAGTCTATTGAAGATTGCTGTGAACTCGACGAGTCTGTTCTTGGACTCGGCGAGTTGGATATCAGAACCTCAACCTTTTCTGGTTAAGGCTTAGATCAGTGAGTTGATTGGTGACTCAGTGAGTTGGACAGGATGGGACTCGGAGATCGTTGAACTCAACGAGTCGAAGGGGTGACTCGACGAGTTGAGGTGTATTGTGAGAGTTTCCAAGTATAAGGACTCGACGAGTCAACGGGTTGACTCGACGAGTAGAGTCAGTCAGGAAGGTTGACTTTGACCAGGACATGGACTTTGTCAAGAGTGGACTTAGTTGGCTTCTAGAGTTAAGTTTGGATCTAAGTAATATATATATATATATATATATATATATATATATATATATATACATATATATATATATATATATATATATATATATATATATATATATATATAGATATAGATATTGGTAGCTCGGGGAGCTAATGGAGCAGCGGTTCACAGAATTTTCGGCCAGCAGCCAGAGGGTTACCAGCAAAGTTCAGCAGTACATGTGAGTTTTCCCTTTGTGTAAATGGATCTACGACCATAATGCCGGCCCATGTAGTTATGAGTAGGAAGACTCGGGGGTTAGCCCTAGGCACTGTTTGCTATTATGATATTCAGGACCAAGGTCCAATATCGGGCGGGTGCCCAAGGATTGTTTTACATGATAGAGTATACTTATTGTCTGTGTGATGCATGTATGTGCCTGGTAGGGAAGTGTGTGTGGGCGAGGTCACGTATCTCACCAATAGTAGACTATGGACGGTGTTCCATATCTCATTAGTAGCAGAGCAGGGGCGAGGCCCGAGATAGGTATGGAGTGATTGTGGGCGGGGGGGGGGGGGGGTATCGCACTTACATTTGGAGCTTGGATGGGGTTCCATGACTCACTAGTAACAGGATAGGGGCGAGGCCCAAGACAGACGAGGCCTTAGGACAGTAACACAGTAGGGTATGTTCAATTATGTGTTATATGCTATTTTGTATTATGTGGTTAGCGGGCTGGGACCAGAGATAGGCGGGGCCTAAAAGATACAGATCTATATCTGAGCGGGGCTCGAAGCCAGGCGGGGACTGGAGCGGCGTGGCCGTTGTAGAGGGCAAGGCCCGAGGTAGGGGGAGAGGCCCGAAATAGCGAGTGTGGCCCAGTATGTGCTATAGGTATGTTCAATTATGTGTTATATGCTATTTTGTATTATGTGGTTAGCGGGCTGGGACCAGAGATAGGCAGGGCCTAAAAGATACAGATCTGTATCTGAGCGGGGCTCGAAGCCAGGCGGGGACAGGAGCGGCGGGGCCGTTGTAGAGGGCAAGGCCCGAGGTAGGGGGAGAGGCCCGAAATAGCGGGTGTGGCCCAGTATGTGCTATATGTGTTTGTGCAGGGTATGTGGTAGGTTGGGGAACTCACTAAGCTTCGTGCTTACGGTTTTCAGGTACTTCTGGTAGCGGAGGGAAGACCTCGGGGTGATCGCATGACACACACCATTAATTAGACAGCCTGTGATGTTTTACATTGATAATGAGAATATATTTTGAATTAATACTCTGAATGTACGTTATGAATTATGACATGGCTTATATGGTTTTTAGTAATGGTTAAAGAAAATTTCTAGTCATGAAGGATGGGACGTTACAAATGCATCCGATGAAGACTGTAATAATCACATAAACGAGCAAAAACTACGCCATTTATTATGTTTATAAGAAGTTTCAAATTGTCTTTCTAATCTTATGCAACCCAATATACCCATCACATCATACATCAGCTCATTTCCTACCATATTTTATTGGAAACACACATATTATTGATTTTATATATATATATATATATATATATATATATATATATATATATATATATATATATATATATATATATATATATATATATATATATATATATATATAGTGATAAATGAGCCGATGAGATGAATATCAAATTTTACACTAAATATAGTATTATATAACTCTTCGTACCCATCTTATCAACTAA